GACTTGCTGCATATAACGACGACATTCCGGAGGGACGCTTTTTTGTTCCCGAAACAAAGGGACATGAATATCCGATGAATTCCCCGATCTAATTTTGGTAAAACGTCGGGACGATTTCCCAGGAAATTCACTAGCCGCACCAACATCAAACAAGACATTTAAGAAAAAATTGGTCTAACAATCAGATTTGCCAGTTGTGGGCAAAGATCAGCACTTCCTGAATTCCTCGAGCGCTCCTGAATCAATCACAATTAATTCGCTCCAAGATTCTTCATTTGGCCTTTAATATTTTCTTTCTAGTGTTAAATTAATAACGTAATTCCTTCTCTTCAAAGGTGTGAATAAAAAAAACATTTTTAACAAATCACTTTGGCGGCTAACCACCAAATGGATGCAGGTCGATCACGTACGTAACCGAGTCCCTTCTTTCTTTCGCTAAACGTGACCATATTTTCTCCTGACAATGGGATCGGTTTATTTAGTACTTTGCGCTCGTGTTCACGTCGAATATACGGCACTATCTATTTTGTCGATATATAAATTCCCATGAATAAAAGAGCAGACGTGTGTAGAAAATCCTTGCCACTACTTTCATCTCCTTCTTCTCGCAGAGCCCGTTCTTTTATCGCTCCCCTTTTTACGACGGAAAACAGTGAGAAGTTATGTAACATCCGACGATTTGTGGGTAGCTGTCGTCTCTCCAGTGTTTATCTGCACAGTCTTTGCAAGTTTAGCAACAGCAAAACACAACGTCGCAGAGAAGCTAATCCATACATAAGGAAGTGCTTTGTCCTAAACCTCGGATACAGCATAATGTGCACGTTAACACTAAAAGACTTTCGTCCCCCCAGTTGAATAGAGTCATCCAAGACAATTTCTTTGACATTAACGTTAGCTAATGGGGCCGTTCTCGTTAGAGCCGTCGCTTCTATAAAGTATAATAGCATCCCTTAAGGGCAATAGGGGACGCTGGAATAAGCTACAAATATTGAAAAGAACTCTTTAAGGAAGTTTCATGGGAAGTCGGGAAGCTTTTCCGAGTTTGAAACGACCTTTTTGAAACGGGAAGTTAACAGGCTTATTTCGCTTATATGATCGGATTATTTGAATGTCCCTTTTAACAAAATGTGCAAATCCCTGTTTTGTCTTTTAAGCACTTTACATTCCTAATCTCTAATCTGAATTTGAATATTCAGTATGACTTTTGAGTAATTTAATGAAGAGAAGACGCCCGCCCAGTGTAAATAATTTCATTCCAAAAGCACCTTCAGGATTACCTAGATAAGTTCCGACTAGTACATAAAATATCAACAACAAATTAATTTGTTTCAAGCCTCTGAATACAAATTGCAAATCGCCCAACATATATCCTAAACTGAGTTATTCTTCGCTTAAATCCGGGACCGTCTTATGTATACTTTATTGGAAAGGTATTCAAAAATATCTAGCCCCTACATTCGTAAAACCTGCCCGAATGGAATATTTTAGCAGTTGAGCCGGTAATCTTTCGGAAAATAGCTGCTGGCTAAAAGGGAGATTTTATTTTCATATATTTGACATGAAACGGAAACTCCAAACGCAAAAAGGGAATTTTAAAAAATACGTTTTGTTGACCTGGTTTTTTACTATCAAGAGAATGTGGAGTGGAAAAACAAAACGAAGTTATTGGAATGCGATCAAAATGTTAAAGTGAAAAATGTCTCTATAAAATTGGGATTATTACCAACGGCTTAAAATGATGCATTATTTGAGATAGAAAAACACAAAAGAAAAATTATAACTCGCCCCTCTTTTACAAAAACAACAATACTCAAAAACACAATACGGAAGCAACTGCAAAAAATGAATTAACTTTTGAAAAAAATGAGCAAATTTCCCCATCAACCATGATTAGTTAGCACAGACTAATAAACAAAAAAAATGTCTCAAATCACTGTCAGTGCGGAACAGACGCACTAAATCCTAAAAAACAGCGAAAAATAACTGGTGAATCCCAATCTTCGAATGAACGTAACCCACCAAGAATCATCATCAAAAAAAGTGACCGAGAATGACCATGAATGGTTTTTGCTAGCATCCAGGTCAATTATACGAATCAGTATGTTTTCCTTATAAATTTTATAATCAATAATCAATTGAAAGGAATTCAGCAATAAAAACCTTTTAACACTGACTAGCTTGTTCTGAACAGTGCAATTTAAATCCAATAAAAGAAGCTACAAAAACACATCTAAAATTAAAATTCACACCTTAGCACTGATATTGATTAATCCCGGTTTTTACGGGTAACGAATAACTTAAAAACACTGCATTATTGAACGAACAAACCGCATGATATTTATTTATTACTGCCTCTAAAAAGCATACTTGTTCTTGCAATCCATTAGCAAAACAGTAAATGTGCAAAGAATAAAAATTGTCCCCAAAACCATTTCCAGTTGTCGCCATTCAAATCGATACGAGTGCAGGAGGGTAAATAATTCCGTCGATAAGGGAGGGACATTTATCTTGAGATAAGCTGGGAAAGGAGAACAATTCGGAAAATCATAAAAGCCCAATCGGGCGTAAAAGGAATTTCTTGAAACCAGTAACAGTCGAATAAGCATTTTCAGGCCAGGCCAGAAAAACGTCGCAGTATAGTACTCAACTACGTTAATAAATCGAAAAAAAGCAGTTGCGGAGCAACGTGTCAGTTGATTGAAATGATTGAGGATTAGTTGAGAGAGAGTGATTGATTGAGAAGTGAAAAGGAAAAGGAAGTGAAAAAAATGGACGTATAAACTGTTCGGATCCTGGCGCATTTTGACTGTTCGGTCAAGTGTGGCCAATTGAAAAACTAATAAACAGATTAAATTAATGAGCGTCAAAGTTGGCAAAAATACTGTTTATTTTGCTCGCCTTGTGCGTTAAACCCATTAATTCCTTTAAACTTTATAGCTGAGCGAAAGAGATTAGAAAGCAATTAACGCATGCCGTCACTTTGTGCTTTTGACGCCAGCCAATAAATCTGTTCACACCCAAAACAACTAAAAAAAAAATCGTTTTTCGCAAATTTCCTTTTCGGATACTTTAGTGCTTTATATCTCGAAGGAAACTGCACATTCTGAAGCAAACAAAACACGATTGGAAATTCAAATGTGATTTGAAAGGAATCCGAGCAGATAATTTAGAGTTCCGCCACTGACCCTAACGCATAATAATAAAACGGCAAAAAATCCGAGAAAACTCCTTATCTTTGGAGCAAAAGGAAAGTTTCCCATTTTATCGCTTATGTTATGGCCGATAGAATTCCGGTTCCTTGTACAGCTCAAGAGTATTTTCCGTGCGATTAGAGCCGGATGTCGGCGACGAAATGCTCGACTTTCCAGTTTTATGTTAGCTCCGAGAAATACATATTTAATGGATTGATCTCATAGGATTAAATGGCGACGAAGAGTTTAGTAACTAAATAAAATAATTTTGCACATGACCAAAGATCGACAGTAGGCATAAATGTCCATTAAAAAACAATATGGACAATGCAGAAGAACCGGTATTGACTGATGGTCAATTTTTTGATAAACAAATCTAAACCCGGAAATAGACAATATTCCCTATTCCCCGTTTTTATTAACCAACATAACAAACCGCTAAAGCCGTTTACGGTTGCGAACGTAAAAACGTTACTTTTACCGTCATCGCACTATTCCCCCGTTTTATGTGTCAGTTGTAAAGTCGTCGGTTTACGAGCTTTTGCTCGTAAAATTAACGTCCCAAGTGTCGGGCAGATTTTACGACCCCTAAAACTATAACCGAGTATGTTTTAATAACCCTCCTAAACGTACCCCATTAAACGCAATAATGTTATTTACAAGTTAACGAACCGCTCGATTTTCGGTTTACTCACTATAATTGATTTTTAAGAACAGTTTGAAACAACGAACTGATTTGTAGCAATTATGTGTTTACAGCTTCCGTAATTATTAATATAAACGCGCTTCTATTCACCAACTAATAAAACTGAGCTGCTTACCAGCCTATGTTGACATGGCCAAAACCAACTCACCTGCAACAAAAAAAGCATCATGAGTATGGAAATTTGCAGATACCAATAACAATAAACTGCACTGGTAAAAGCTGCATCAATTTAAGAAATGTTTCTCAAAATTAATTCGAATTAATCGACAGGCAGATTAACGAATTCGCTCTGTGGATAGTGCAAATCATATCCGAAAGTCGTAACTCTCACTATAACACGGGCCATTAACATCATACATAACGTTAATACCAACGTTACACCCCTAGCTTTTATTGGCTGCTCGCTGGTAGCGATCATTAAAAGGGCTTAATTACCTACTGGCGTTAAATTATTACTGTATAGATAACGATAGAAACTCCTGAGGAATCGCTAAACAGCCGGAGAGCTTGGAATATGAACTCTTGAAGGCTTTAAACGTTTTTTAGATGATTTAACATTTTCAATCACTTTGAAAATTGAAAAATTTCAGATTAACGTCAAAATTCTTCAATCTGAAGTGCTCTTTCCGCACTTCCTCCAGAAAACATATTACTCCCTACCGCACTGTTCTTCCTAATTAAACATTCTTAAAAACCACCACATTAACACACAAAAAATCCATTTGACTAATATCTAGCTGTTGTTTTTTGCCATTCTTGTTATGAACAATTAAAAAATATCTACCTTCCAGCTATTCGTTTCCTTTCACCCACTATTGCCATATAATCACATAGCAAACCATGCTCTTAACATGTTTACTAATTGATCCATTCGCATTGCAAAACACGAATAGAAAACACCTGATGTTTATGTAATGGGTTGAGCCAATAGAACATTTCACATTTATTGCAAATAAAACAGTGGAAATCGCGAATTTAGCATCAATAAAAACGATAAACTTTCGTTATTAAGATAAAACTAACGCCGAATATGGAAACACAATGGTGATCAGACACTGATGCTGTGTGCGCCTAGTAGGTTGGAAACTAAGGGGAATAAAACAGGTTTTTTTTCATCTGCTGCATCTGGAAAACCAGTTTTTGGCATAAGGAAGTTGGAGAGAACCCTGGAGACAATAATGTATCATTAGATTTACTGGCTGTCGCTTAGCGTGGAACTTCATTCGGATCTTTCGAGTGGAACAAATGAAGATTTACTTGTATCATTTCCATTTCTTCACTATTTCTTTTTCAAACGGTTTTTAATAGCGCAACTCTGACACGCAAAAGTGAATAAAAAATAAACATGTTTTCTTATATGATATTTATGCTGATACTAATGATCAAACAGATATTAATTAAGTGTATAAATTATTACTAGCAGGCATATGTAATCATGAAAAAGGAATATCTAGTAAACTATTATGTAAATATGCATGTAACTGCTTAATACGCAATTTAATATGCTAATGTTACACTACAGAACGTTTTTTCTCAAAGATCGTTAAAGAAAATATTGAAACATGTAAATTTAACAAACTGACTGGTTAACATTTGAACGCATTCCATTGATTTACAAATACATTAAATGTTTCTCCTGAAACAGTCTGGAAACAAAGAATTTATTTCCATATTTCTTTTCGTTCAAACAATACGTTATTAGCATATAGAAAATGGAGATTGGTTCCAAGTATTGTTTGAACACATCAGACTAGTTTTTGTCAATGGGAACATATTAATAATGGTGGATTTTGTGCAACAGACGTAGTAGAGGAAAAATGGAAATATATCTGAAAAATATTGGAAGCTTTAAATCTGCAGGAAAAAAGATTGAAAAGCAAATCTAGTCATTATGGTCCGGGGTTCAAGATGGGACACAGTACAGAACTGGAAAAGTTCGACCAATTAGTTCGTTCCAGTGTCTCCAACGCTGTTTGTAATAAAAAAAAATTATGGATTTTATGGGAGGTGTACCTATTTGGCTTAACATCTTGATTTCATCTCATCATCAAATCATTAACTACGCGGATGATTCAAGCTTGCTCAGATACAACCAGTAAAGAAAAACTAAACTTCAGATATCAGAGGCCGTTGACTGCTCTAGTAGAAACAGATTAGTGCTGAATAATAAAAAACCTGCCTTTAGTCTTTAGAACCAGAAATGTGTGCGAGAATCCATTCAAACAAGTAACAAACACAATGTGTCTCAAAATCGTCGACAACATTCCTGGGTATGATCCGCGATAATAAATTATCTGGGGACTCTCATGTAGACAGTCAAGAAATTGAATAAGATTTGCTCCGCTCCCAGAGACTCAAATTATGCAAATTGGCAAACGAAAAAAGCTGTATATCATGCCAACTTCGAAACGGTCATTAGATAATGTTTCATGGTAATTGCAGACACACTAAGAGTGTTTCTGGTTCGAAACTATGAAAACGAGTTGAGTATTTGATGGTTTTTTTAGACAGTGAATTTTGACGATGACAAATCTTATATAATAAATATACCTGAACCAAATCGTCCGTTGGTGAAGTTAGTGGTGTTTCCACTGTTTCCTGGTGGCCCTCTTTTTCCTTACTTTCCTTGTCCTGGGCGACATTTTCACCCTTCCGTTCGGAATCCTGCACTCTCACTATGATCGCTATTTTGCCGGTTGTTCACTAACGTTCACTAATTATCACCGCAATTGTAAACACAGTTTAATCCTCCGGGTCTGCCCGATAAGCACATATAATTACTGTTAATTGTAGTTACCTTAAGACAAATGGTCTCACAACAATGCACTGTAAAGATAATGTCGAATTTTAACCAATTTGTTTAACATTAGTTGAGCTGTGCCAGTGGATGCAGGATCTTCACACTTCCGTTAACCAACGTTTTAATTAAAGATTTCCACACTGATAAAACATTCAGATCGTGACTAAGTAATAGTTCTTATTGAATGTGAAATAATACATTGGTTAACTTTGATAGGTATGAAGGTATGTAATTTTACATTAGCCTCTCCACGTGAAGTATATTTAACTATAATAAAAGTGAAATAGAATCTATGTCAATAATTTTTGTTTCAACGTCTTATCGAGCTGGGCAGGTACCCGTAGAAATAGAAAATTACACGATGCCATAAACAGGCAACTGTAATAACACACCAGAATATGGAAAATACTACCTAATATATCAGCCGGCAAATTACCGGTTTGTTTCTATGTTTTGCTTCACAAATTGCCAGTCTTGTCCGCGACAAGGCTGCAACATGTTTGTTGCTTCGGATACATTATTGAATAATTACGGGTAATTAGTAACCTAAGCCAAATCGGTCGGACAGGTAGTGGATTTTTAATTTTCAAATAACCGCTGTATAAATGCCCTATTTCATACATGTTTCAAAGCCTTTAAATTCGCTTCTCACGTACGCGAATCAGCTATATGAATTGCTAATGGTGAAAAAACAGTAGGGACATTTGCAACATTACTTGTCCTTATATTGCATGCATAAAATTATCATGAGCAATAGAAGCAAACAGATCAAAATAAACAAAAGTTAATTAATGAAGATTTCTGCACGAATAACACTATTTTTCTAGCACTCGAGCAAAATAAATCAAATTGATTGATTTCCCACTGAAGAAATGAATTATCGACCAACGTATCTGTTTTTCGGACATTAATTGATCCATTAACTATCAGGGTGAAACAAAGGTCCACTTTGAATGTCAAGTGTTGACCTACATTACGAAATCAATTAATCACATGCAACCAATCCATATAAAGACATTCCAATCGAATCGGAAACAATTGAGACAGTTTCAGACAAATTGTTTCGAGTTATTGGAACAATGTCGGTTTATGCGTTTTAAATATCACATCAAGTAAAAAAAAATCGGAACAAAACCGATTACACAAACTTCGAATCTGGCCACTGGCCAAAACAATGCTCCAAAAATAACAGTGTAACGAACAGCCAGTGAATGTTATACATAGATTGCAAGTGATTTGTCACATATTTTAGTGTGTGTTTTGTGTTAATAACATATGCCGGCTGGCCGGGCGGTAATTCTTAAGCATTGCTGACTTTGATGCGTCCATAAATCGTTGTCTTTCGTGCTTAATATTCAGGGAATTCCAATTCAATTTTTATTCATTTGGGACCATGTCAATTCTCGACAAATATTGAGTAATCACATTCAAATAGAAAGCGCTGTTTAGCTAAAAAGCACGTAGGTGTCCAAATAGTTTCTGGCTATTTTTACAACAATCTTATATATTTTATGAGCCGCTAAAATGTCGAGACGGTTTGTTAATCGCTTGACACTAAACGTGGACATGGTATATTTATAAATATAAAAATAGGTTATTTTTGAAAAATCGCATTACTTATATAATAATAGTGAATGATTTTAACGGCGGACTTATAAATAGAAAGCAATATTTTCGAGGTCAATTAATCTGCTAAGAACATTTATAAGTTTTTTGTGCTTAGTTTAACTAGTAAAATATCAGTTTCCTTCGGCATTTCGCTAATGTGTTTTTAATTTTATTCCTTCTCTGGTTACTTTATGTTGCCGTTATTCTACAACGATAACTCTTGTGCATTTCCATTTTACATCTACGAATTTAAAAATATCATCTACCTACTTGCCACGTTCGTGGAGCACGATCTTTCCGCGATAAAAATTTCTCATAAATACTTAAGGATAATGATGGATTGCCTGAATTATTCAACACTGTTTCACGGAAATACGGAAATATAACGCATAGTTAGCATTTCCTTATTTTAAAAGGAAAATTTTTCGGTAGCGCTATATTTGTCGCGTCCGATTGAAATTAAATTTCCAATTTAACATTTATATTGCCAAAAGAAATTAATTTTTCTTTATTTAAACCAGGAGCGTGTAATTTATCGCAGCTTAAAGTTGAAGTTAAGCCCACATAATTATCAAATTTAAAATTATATCCCAAGATTTGTATCGGAAGATTATATCATTAAAAAGATTGATATTCATATTAATTTTCCGAGATCGCTTCGGGCCTTTAAAACCCATTAAAGAATTAGGCACGATTTGGGTGGCTACTTAATTATTTACACTCCATAGTCGCACTAGCTCGCCTAGAAATTGGAATGTTGATATCTTTATAATTAGCGGGTTACGTATTCCACGCAAATTACATCCGCAAATCGGCGGATAATTTATTGTTAGTTAAATTGTATTATCACAATTGGAATCAATGAAAAGTTGAAGCGTCCAAGTGATAAATTACTTATTTGGTTCTCTGGTTGCTATTGCGAAAAAAACATCGATTCAAACCGACTATTTGATCAACTAGACTTACTTTGGCAATCTCAGCACATCAATTTGTGCGTCAATCATAAAAAATCCGCTTGTCGAAGTTCTTTGGGCTCCGCTCTGTTCACTGCATCTTCGGCGCACGAATTGTACACACTTGATATAATGTCGCATATAACGGTTTGTCTTTTTCGCCAATAAAACTCAACCGTTGGCTTAAAAAGACGAAACAAGAGCGGACTGATTGAACAAATTGGGGTGGACAAAGTGAGGCAAAATCATGGAAAAAACTGAGGCGTTCAATAAATGTAAAAAGTGTTTGGAAGTGATTTCGAAATTTCCCAAAATTGAGTGACTGAATATTCGCGACACGACTAGTCGTTTTATTAAGCCGACAATGGTGGCGAATCAAATTATTATTCGGACAATGGAACGGGATAGGGCCATTACGTGTATGAATAATGCATATGGCGGAGCCATGCAAGCATGGCGACAAAAAATCCTTTCTGCCCCCTCTGACCTCCGCGCCTTGCAAATTACTGTTATAAACGATTCATTACGAACGTCGATAAAACATTTAATAGTCCCGACAATATTCAGACCGTGGTAATGATGGTCCTGTGCAAATAAAACAGTAATTTTCATGGAAATGAATAGCCAGATATGTTTTGCATTGATTTGTGCAAAAGCAATCCCAGTTAATTATTAATAATATTCAACAGATGCCTATTTCGTGCTTGGGTGTAAAAACAAATTAAAAATATTAACACGTATTCAGCTTTACTGTAGTAAACAACCATGTGACTCGGACATTAAAACAAAGTATACAATCTACATACATGCGTTAGTAATGAACATAATCAATGGCTAAATGAACTATGAACTAATTGAAATATTCATTACCCAAACCCATACCAAACTAGCAACTCAATTCGACTAACAGCTATAAATTACATACTAATAAAGAAGTAATTACGGCTTGATAGAACCTAATTAGCTAGTTTGAAATTTTATTCTGGTAATTACCCAATGCGTGGCCCGAAACACGTTTTTAATTATCGCCGCCCATAAAAATATTAATGCATAATTAAATAATATAATATAGAGGTTTTACTAACTAAATTGTATACTAATTATATTTACTTATGAATATTTATGACCGTTGTATAATTGATTTGATCAGAGTTTTCGTGATGGCTTTCGACACGCTCAGTCCACACCGAAGACAGATTTCTTCCTTTAGGAAACTGTTTTTATATGCAAACGCTCGATTTGTTCTCCGTAAGCTGCGCGAAAAAATAATGCTGCAGAGTGCAAGACTTTCGACGAGTTAAAAATGATCCTGGTTCTAGTACACGAAGAATTTCTGTACGACACAAAAAAATACAAAAATTTTACGTAATTAACACGTAATTTAGCCAACCTCGAGTTTTACATAAAAACAAAAATTGTTGCAAAAAAAATCAGTAAAATCAATGATAAATTACTAAAACCAGACGAGATAGAGCTTTAAAAAATTCGTCACAGCGCTGTAAAAAAGTCACCCAGACATGAAAATTACAAAAAACCAACCAACAATAAGTCCAAATTCCGTTCAGTCATTTTAAAACGATTTTGTCAGAAGCGGAGGCCAATTAATGTAACAAGCGTAATTGGCGAGTTTCGAATTATAAAAGTAATAATTTTCCCAACTCTCGCAAACATTTCAATTATAACATTAAAACGTACAGGCCGAATTTAAATAATTACGCAATTTAAAACGGGCCGATAAAAGCGACGCGAAATTCCATTTTAATTTGCGACAAATTTGATACTGGAAAATACATGTTTTAGCAACAATAAACGGGATCTTTAATATTGAAACATTAATTAAAAATCGTGAAATTTATATTGCAAATTATATATAAATTGGCGTTTATGTTGTTTGAACAAAATAAATACGCTTTGAAAAGCTTTTATTAATGTTTATATAAAAACTGTATATTTATGGAGGTTGTACAAACACAGATGAGTGCTCTCATGAAATCAACGTTTTTAGTATTTCAATATTTACCTTTTAGTCGATGTGGCGTCATTAAATATTTTATAGCATACTGCTAAAGTTTTGACGGTAAATAGAAAGGTGTTTATGCTAATGCTTTTCAAAATAAACGAGTAAAAAAAGATAACTTTGCCTGCGTCTGTTTTAAAGTTATCATAATCATTGGTATGCATTGTGCAACCTGTTTGCAATGTAAATTATTTACAAAATATGCGTTTCACCTTTTTTAATTGCAGTTTTCCGCTTGCCACTTCCATTTGCAATTGAAAGCAAAAAATGGTTTTATACAGCTTATAAAAATGAAAAAAATCGAATTATCTCTCTGCAAATAAAAGCTAGATAGTATCACAGGAACATGATAATCATTAAATAGTATAATGGACTATTCAATTAGGAAAATTACATAATTATAATTGAAACGAGGCTGGTTGGTTTGCTTTAATGGCTTTTGAATAAC